CCCCCCCCCTCCCCCTCCCCCTCCCCTCCCCTCCCCTCCCCTCCCCTCCCCTTGAGATGTAACCTGGGCGTGTATGCCCTCGCGCAGCGTACAGGAACACAGGCACGCAAGTGTCTCCTTTTGCTAGAGCACAGCTGCAGTCTTGTGTGAAGCAGTACTTGCTTAGTTGGATCTGAGCACGTTTCCTCATGAGCCTGTCTGCCCTGCCGCCTTGACCTCTCTCTCGAAGGCCTTGAGTCAGCGTGTGCGCGTAGAAAAAGATCCGCTATGGATGTGTGTCTTTCGAGTGTGAAGCTTTAGCTGCTTTCCTGGTGGTTCCGTTTTGCCCACAGTGGTAGCGGAGCCCAGTCGCTCCAGCTCCCGTCATGAATGGCCCGCCCGGTACCTTTATGCAAACCTGGCAAGGAAAGGGCTATGGATGGGGGACACCTAATCTGCCTGCGGGGCCTCTGGCTTATGCTACTGGTTCTGCAAGCGCGATGGGTGCGAGACCTGATAGTGTACCAATGAGCCCAATGCCAACCACTGGGACTCAGCAGCCTACGTTGCAGACGCTTCTTTTGAGAACGCCAGCTCCCTCCAGTTTGCCTTCAGCGAATGTTGGTGGCATTGGTGCGGCAGCTGGCCCTAGCTCAGCACCCTCGGTTAATATCGCGGGTTCTTTGGCTAGTGCTTTACAAGGAGATAGCATGGGCCCAGGCAATGCCGCTTCGAGGCCTGGGGTGCAGAGCGCTTTTGAGCTTTTGGGAAAACAGGTTCCCGCAGCAAATGCGGAAGCCAGGATGGAGACGAGCGATGCGATCATGAAGGCCCTGACCATGGCTGTTTCTGGAGAAAAGAAAGCGATGCCCTCGTGGTCGGGCAACGTCTCGACTCTCAGAGCTTGGTTGCGGCAGCTTTCCTTCTGGGAGATTGACAATCACATTCCGAAACAGAGATGGGGCATCAAGCTGTTCCAGGCACTGAGTGAAGGAAGTGTACCGAGACGCATAGCAGAGGGGATCGCCATGGAGGTGATCCTGTCTGAGAGAGGGTGCGGAGCCATCTTATCGGCAGTTCTGGAAAAGTTCAAACCGTACTTGGATGCAGCCGGGCCAGCGGCCATAGACATGTTTTTCTTTTCGGGAGACCGTCAGCGCAATGAGTCGTTTTCGAATTACATTGCTGCGAAGGAGCTCGCGAAGCAGGAGATCGAGAACCTCACTGGCGAGACACTGCCACCGAAGTTGGCAGGCCGGATTCTCCTGAAGCAGGCGAACCTTACCGAACAACAAAGGGAAACCATGGCGATTCGTTACAACGCTCTGTTGTCCTTCGAAGAAGTAGCAGCAGCTCTCCGTCCTCTGGATAGTGTACATTTGGGCTTTCAACGACGCGTACAACCACATCATGCAAGGTTGGAACGAGGAGCCCAGCAGTTCGTTTCCGGCGTACCAGGATGTGCGCCGAGAGCTCCAAGCCAGACCCAAAGGACGGCAATTCTTTCGCCCAGATGCAAAGGGGCGAGGAAAGGGAAAGGGCAAAGGCGGTCGAGTTCCCAGCAAGGGCAAAGGCGGACGTGGCAAGTCCCAGCAGCGCTCCAGGAAGGGAGCCTCGAAAGGCTCAGCCGATGACTTGTTTGTTGGCGAGGACTAGATGCTTTTCCTGTGGAGAACTGGGTCACTTCAGCAGAGATTGCCCCAATCCGGCACCGGCGACTACTTCCAGCAACGCCGCGCCACACAGGACGACCTTTGTGGTGAGCCAGGGTCCGTCCAAAGGAGCCATCAACAGAGCCTACATGATGACGGGGCCCAACAAGACTGTGGCTATCTATGCTGGAGTGCGGACCGCGGCCGGTGAGGGCTTGGTGGACAGCGCTGCGGAAGATGCGGTCATCGGCAGCGGGGCGTTCCAGAGATTGCGGAATGTCCTGGCACAGCAAGGATTGCAGCCACAGCCGGTTCGAGGCCCATGTGGTTCCTGCGCTGGCATCGGCGGTTCAGCCCGAGTTGCCAACATATGGGACGTGCCAGTCGGCATTGCCAAGAACAACGGCTTGCTGAGGATCACGGAGCTAGAAGACTGCGACGGCTTTGAGACCCCTTTCCTGATCCCGGTGTCCTTCCAGGAGTTGGTGGGCATGGTCATTGATTATGACAGGGCGGAAGTCAGAACAAGGCAGGGCAACTCAACGCCCATGCACAGATTGCCCTCAGGACATCGCTCTGTGTCAGTTGTTGAGTTTGATGGGAAATGGTCATTGCCCAAGGAGCTCATGACGCAAGGACGGGATCCCTTTCAGTTGCCCCGTCCGTTGAAGGCCCAGACTCGTACCGCTCCATTGGGCCAGCAGAGAGATGTCGCGGTGTGGCTTCGTTACTCAGACGGTTCTTTTGAGCAAGAGGCTTGGCTCGAAGGGCCGAGAAAAAGTCTTGTGGTGCCGTCTGAGTGCCTGCCTTTGGAGACTGCCAATCAGTTGGATTCGAGTAGGGTGACATACCTGGATGCTGCCCCCGATGTGGCCCCCTACATTATCAACGATGTTTGGTGTCATTCCTTAGGTCATCGTGAGCTGGAAAACCCATGGACAGGTACGGTCATCTTTCAGCAGGTAAGCCAGAACCCCAACGCTACTTCCTCCTCTACTACCTCGTGTACTCCGATCACTACGGCTACCACTCCTTCTTTGCGCCAGGCATCTTCACTGGCGAGTGGCGGGCCGACGTTGGAGGTTCGACCCACAGTTTATCACATGTCTGATGGGTCCGAGCCGGTTCCGGAGTCCAGTGCCGAACATGATTTTGAAGGTGTTTTTCATTCTCCTTTGGTTTTCGGGGGTGATGGAGTTGGAGTGCAGCATGTTCAGCATGTTCACACGTCGTCTCCGCCCCCATGGAAGTTTTTGCGTGCCAAGAAAGATCGATTGCAGAGGAGCACAGAGGATTCCAAGAAGCACAGTTTTCTTCGTGATTTGGGCTCGAGATCGACTCAGGCCCTTTTCTGCGAGAACCTCGGAACATGCAGCAGTGCATTCGCTCGCTTGTGCACGGCGAAGGAGAGGGAGTCCAGCCGAAAGCAGCAGCTCGCCGCCGAGGTGCGACATGGTGCGAGAGGTCATGGGCACGAATCGTGATGATTCTGGTCCGCATGATTGCCACGGTACGCCAACAGCTGGTGGTGGACTCGTTGATCTTGGACGCCTACGCACCTTCGGCCTCGGCTTCTTCTTCTACGACGGCACCTCCGCCCAAGGAAAAGCAAGGGAAGAAGAAGGACACGAAGGTCAGGCAGGGGCTGGGCACCCAGCTTTCTCGAAGCCAGGCACAAAACAAGTGGACTTTGGAACCCGAGAGCTGCCCCCACGAGGAGCAAGATCTGCGGATGCGAGGGAACCAGGCTCGTCATTGGTGGGCGTGTCTCAAGTGCGGCAGCCGCTGGGAGAGAGTGGAGACGGATACCGTGGAGAACCCGGCGGGGCCACCAAAAGCTACCCGGCCAGTGTATCGTGCCACGAATCCCCCACGGATGCTGCCGCCACCAAGATCGCATCCCAGTTTGGGCAGCCTCACTTTGGAGCAAGCCAGGTCCCCACCAACGAGGACTACACCGACCGCGTCGACTTCCCAAGAGAGCCCCTCGATTACACGAACCGGGAAGCCGACGCCGAAGATGAAGACCGTGGGCGCCTACAAGGACATGCTCAAGAAGGCCACCCGGGAGTACTCCGAATGTACCAGTTCGAGCCGACCGTCCGGAGCGAAGGAAGCATGTCCGTTTCGGATCCAAGCATGGCTCTGGCGATCTCGGAGGGCCAAACTCGCACCTTGGATCGGATCAACCTGCAAGCTCTCCGGGGTCACCACAACAATCCGCAGGAATGGGCCGACTACGAGCAGACACAGGGCCCCATGGAGACACCTCACCGCCGATCGAGGAGCCTACCGGCCGGAGTCCATCCCGTCCAGGACCTGAGCCGGCGCCGACAGGTTCAGTTGACACCTCGCGGCCCGGAAGTGTTTGCTATCCACGAGAACCACAGCGACGAAGACAAGGACAAGGACGTGACTCCGGGGTCTTTCAGCATGGTGAGCCCCAACCACGAGGACCTGTGACCAGTCGGCCCGTTGAAGAAGCCCAGGTGTGCACTACGATAGAGCCTTCCCGACAAGGCTCTGTTTTCTCCATGCCCAAGAGTGCTCCACTTCATGTGCAGCAGAATTTCGCAAAGCGAGGTTATGGCCTAGCCTGTGGCCTTGCTGTTCTCCTTTCATCTTTTGGGACTACCCCGCCTTTGGCATCCTCGTCAACTTCGAGTTTGCCATTTCGCCGGCTGGAGGCTGGTGTCGTACAAGGAGGCGGCGGTCTAGAGTCCTACAATTTTGTTCTTTTTCAGATGCCAGACGAGACCTTCGAGTTTAAGGCAGCTGGCTCTTTGGGCAGGCCGTGCACTTTGCCGAAGCCTGCAAGGAACTTCGTTATAGAGTCGCTTGAGAACCTACAGAAGATAGACGTTAGCACCTTCACGACAACAACCGTGGACCCACTCCAGACTTGTTCTCCTAGAGTAGAAAGTCCTATTCCCTTGACTGCCAGAAGGCCCTCAAAGCTAGCCTCAGAATCCAGACAACCTCAGCAACCACAATCAGCAGTTCGTGGTAGATCAGAAGTAGATCGAGTTCAACCGCTAGCATCCGCTGCCCATGGTCGTCCCAAGCAACCTCAAGTGCAAGTATACAAAAGGGGGAGATACCAGGCAGTTTCGCGGCCAATTGTGGAACAGCCACCCTCGGAAGTCAGCCTTTCGGATGGAAACTTCCGACAGCACGGTCCCTTCGGCACCAGAGTTCTCAGTTTTCTATGTGCTTGGTCGTTTTACCATGGAGTCGAAACAGAGCGAATCCTGGGCGCCGTGGAGAACTACAGGCCAGCCCTCATCGTCGGACGCATAGAAAGCAACAGCCGCAAAGTACTCGTGCAGGCAGGCGTTCTTCAGGACAACCGGGGCGGCATGTTTGCTCTGATGTGCGACCGCCGAGCCGTGCCAGGATTATGTCGACAACTACCATCGGCTTCGCCAGTGCTGTTCTCGGACAGCAAGCATGTGGTCGCTGTTCTAGTCAACGACAACCGCGCCTTTACGAACCTCAAGTGGGACCAGCAAAACTGGGCTGACACAGACGACCTCGAGTCGCTGGAGGTTTCCGTGGTGGCTTTCCTCGAACTTCTGTGCCACCCCAACAGCCTCACGGCGTTCACCCATGCCAACATGGAGATCATTGGCAAGCTGGTGGCCCAGATGCGGAACGCTTTTGAAGGCCTCTTGACGGCCTCCAGAACCTTCCTGGCTGCGGAGGCGCTCTCGGAACCTAGCTCTGCTTCCTCTTTTCAGGGGTGCGTGGAAGGAACTGGGTCAGTGGTGCCTCTTTCCGCGAGTTCGGCAGCCCCGGCAGCCTCATCAGCTTTGTGGCCAAAAGTCCGTTTTCAGAGCCGGTTCTGTAGAGCTTTCCCTACGGCTAGGACGGAGGACGAAGCTCAGGGCGGAAGTCTTGATCATGATGAAGTTGAAGCGGATGAAGCCCTGGAGGAGGTGAGGCAAAGCTTGAGACCGGTCACGGAAAGCACCAAAGTGGCCGAGGCGCTGAAGAACGTCGATGATTTCAGGAGGCACGAGGAGTTCGGCAAGTTTTCCTTGCACCCCCAACTGAGGCGCGAGATCTTCAAAGTCCACAGGAACCTCAACCATCCTTCGAAGGAGGTGTTTTTACGTGCCTTGAAACACGCGGGCACCAAGGATGAAATTATCGCGTGGGTGAAAGAGCACTTCTCGTGCCCTCTCTGTGAGTCGGCAAGGCGACCCATGGCGGCGAGGCCGGCTCATCTCGCCCGGTGCCTCACTTTCAACTCGGTGATAGCCATTGACCTCTTTTATCTCAGCCTCTTTGGAACCGAGAAGATCTTTTTGGTTTGTGTGGATCATGGGACAGGGTTTGTCCAAGTGGCTCGATGTCGAGATGCCAAGGCAGCTACCGTCCGTCAAGAGCTTTGCAGAGCTTGGGTTCAGCCGTTCGGAGTGCCAGAATTGATCCTGTGCGACCAAGGACCAGAGTTCATGGGGTCTCAATTCCAGGAACACATGTCGCAACTAGGTGCTGCAGTGCATTATACTGACGGCGCCAGTCCTTGGCAGAATGGCAAGGCCGAGAGGACGGTCCAGACCTTGAAGAACAAAATCCTGCTGACCATCAAGGACATTACGGCGCATGAGGAAGAGTTGGACGTCGTCATCGCCCATGTGGTGTCGGCATACAACTCGATGTATGACCGTCACGGGTTTACTCCAGATCAGAGAGTGTTCGGGCGATCAGTACGGATGCCAGCTTCACTATTGGCCGACGACCGCCTCAACCAGGAGCTCTTGATGGAGTCCGCGGGCGATGCCGTTCAGAGATCTTGGGACATCCGCTCAGCAGCTCGGCAAGCGTGGTTGAAAAAGGATGATGCGGAAGCCGTTCGTAGAGCCCGTCGAGTTCAAACTAGAGCCACCGACATGCACTCATACACGCTACAGCCGGGACAGTGGGTGTATGTTTGGAGGAGGTCGGACCACCGACACGGGTGGACCGGGCCAGGGGCACTGATTGCCCAGGTGCCTGGAGGAACTTCGTGGTGGATCAATGTCCGTGGTCGCTTGTGGAAGGCATCTGCGGAACAGATCCGCCCCGCTGCGGACGAAGAGGACTTGGGAGCCTCCTTGATGATCGAGTTGCATCGTGACCTAACCAAGCAGCTCAAGGAAGGACGTCAAGTAACGTTTCAGGACGTCACCGATGAAGGTGGCCCCCAAGACTTCGTGGAGGAGGAGGATCTCTCCGAGCTGTTTGACTTGGATCGTCGTTCGGATCCTCGCGTGGATCACGCTGAAGCAGCTGAGCCGGTGGAGCCTGGAACTCCATCCCTGGGAGACACCACTACCGCTGGAGAGGAGCAGAGCCTACCACTGGACTCGTCTGCTCCTCAAGAAAGCCGAAGACAAAGTGTGAGTTCGGCTCCGGTCATTGCAGAGGAAGAAATGCCAGAAGGTCCGGAACCCCGAGATTCCGGAGCTCAAGACAGTCGGCGAACGATTAGGGTTGACGAAGGGAGCTCTGGAACCATGAGCTTCGGTCCAATTCCGCCACCGCATGGCCAGAGGTCACAACCGTACCTTGGCCAGACCAACCAGGTGGGTCCTTCGAACTACTTGGATGTCATGGACTTCGATGCCGCCGCCGATGCCATCTCTTCTACTTACTGGGTGTCTGGGGGTCCTCATTGGGTGAGACAGACTACAAGCGGCAGATCCTTTCTGAAGCCCCTCTCGCCCAAGACGTACTTCCAGGCCTCAGCCGCGGAAGCCAGCTACTGTGCCAAAGACCGGTGCATGTATGTGGGTAAGGCAAAGTCGTCCTTCGGCCAGGTGGAGTTTGCCAAGCTCCAGAATGCGGAGAAAACTTTGTTCCGGAAGGCCCGTGAGAAGGAGTTACAATCCCTGTTAGAGAATAAGGCGGTGAAGATCCTCAGCCTCAAGGAGTCCGCAGAGTTCAGGCGCCTTCATCCAGAAGCTATTCTGGAATCACGCTTCGTGGACCGCTATAAGCCGGCGGGGATCAAGCCGGAGGAGCTACAGCAAGCACGCCAGGACGCCATTGAAAAAGGGGAATTGCAGCCCTTAGAGCTCTCGGAGGATGACACCAGTCCGAAGAGTCGCTGGTGCGTTGTGGGGTGGAAGGATCCTCAAATCCACCAGATAGAACGTTCAGCGCCGACTCCCTCTTCGGCAAGCATCAATGTGGTCCTGCAGCTCATCGCATCTCGGAGGTGGTGTGGATATCTCCGAGATGTGAAAACTGCGTTCCTTCAAAGTCGCCCAACTGATCGTCGTGTTCCCATTGCTTGCATGCAGCCCCGTGATGAGTGCATGCCGGGATTGCATCCAGATCAGCTCATCCTCCTCCTTACCGAGGTGTACGGGTTGGTCAGCGGCCCTTCCTGGTGGCGTTCCAGCTTGTTGCAACGACTGTACAAACACAACTACCACCTGTGCCCGTACGAGTCATGCGTTCTCGTGTTGCCGGGAGAGAAACCTGGTGATCCCACGGAGGGAGTCAGCGTCGTGGAGGTCGATGACTTGGTGGAAGCCGGCTCCCAGAAACATCGGGACAAGCTGGCGGCACTGGAGAAGGAAATCCGCTTTGGAAAAATTACTAATCTGCTGGAGGCCAGCGAGCAAGAGAGCACCTACGCGGGGCGCACTCTACGCCAACTTCAGGACTACTCCTTCGTCACCCACATGGAGGAATATGTCTACACGAGACTGGCTCCTATCACTCTGGCCAAGAAAACCCTGAAAAAGGATGCGGCAGCAACCCCGCTGGATCCCGGTGAGATCACACAGCTGCGAGGGGTGATTGCAGCATTGTCTTGGATGTCGCGAGAGTGTCGACCGGACGCGGCAGCTGCCGCTTCCATTCTAGCCTCGTGTTTTCCAGAGCCAACAGCAGAGCATGCCATGCAGGCGAACGAGGTCATACGACAGCTGAAGCAGTTCCCACTTCGGTTGCGCATCCACAGCATCGAGGAAACCAAGGTGAGGAACATCGTCATCTCGGACTCCGCCTTTGACACCACCGGCAAGGAGAAAAGCCAGCACGGTTACCTCGTCGGCTTCACAAACGACGAGATGAATGTTGGCAGATCCGCTCCTGTGAGCCTTACTCGTTGGTGTTCGAGGCGTCTTCGACGAAAAGCTTCCTCTTCGATGCTGTGTGAGGCCATCGCCTTCTCAGCGGCCACAGCTGCGCTGGAGAAACAAGATGCCCTCTGGGATGCACTTCGCATCAGCTTCTACGACCCGCGACAAAGGCAAAGGACAGAAGCGGAAGCCTTGGAACTCCAAGGCAAGTCTTCAGTGATCGCAACGGAGGCTCCCCTGTACAGGGATCCTCGCATCCTTGCAGTCATAGATGCGAAAGCTTTGTTTGACAGCCTTCTCAGCGATCAACCAAGCGACTGTGAACGCACCAACCTCGAGATCGCAGTGATCCGAGAAAGTCTTCAAGTGTGCCGCGCAAGAACGAGGTGGGTTCCGCATAACGTCAACCCGGCGGATGCATTAACGAAGTTCCAAGGATGCCATTTGGAGCCTCTTGTCAAGATGCTCAAGAGCGGTCGCTATCAAATCAGCGACGAGGACGAAGTCTTAAAGTCCGGAAGACAAGGGCTCCAGCGTAAGAAGCAAGGCATCGGCTCATTAGGAAACTCTTCCTTTTTGGGGGCTGTGAAGCAGTACTTGCTTAGTTGGATCTGAGCACGTTTCCTCATGAGCCTGTGTGCCCTGCCGCCTTGACCTCTCGAAGGCCTTGAGTCAGCGTGTGCGCGTAGAAAAGATCCGCTATGGATGCGTGTCTTTCGAGTGTGAAGCTTTAGCTGCTTTCCTGGTGGTTCCGTTTTGCCCACACTTGGAACTCTGCTATGCTAGAACCTTGAGCACAGACATGGATACATGCAAGTGATACGTGCAACTGACAGGTGCCCGGATGTGCAACATTCGGAACTTCAACCAGGCACAAATTTAAAAACACGTAGGACTGCATGGCC